TGACCTAAACGACAATGCCACAAATAAGTTGCACTATCATTATTAACTTTGCATCTTTTGGCTTCAAAATTATGAATATGTGTATCACTACGATCGAGATTCAACAAAAATAGACCACTCATCAAGGGTGGATGACCATAAAAGATATTACTCATATAAATAGAATAACCATTATTCTCTTATTTAAATGAATAACCGTCTTGCATCAAACAAGATCCAGATATAATGTTCATGCTCAACGCTGGCACCAAATAACAATTATTCAGGTCTAAAACTAATCCCGAAGGTAGATGTAGAGGTAGCGTGCCGACGGAGATCACATCGACCTTGGAACCATTTCCGACGCGCATCATCACCTCGTCCTTAGCCAATCTTCGTTTAATCTGTAGCCCCTGTTTTGAGTTGCAAATATGAGCAACAGAACTAGTATCAAATACCCAGGCACTACTACGAGCATTAGTAAGGTACACATCAATAACATGTATATCAAATATACCTTTCACTTTGCCATCCTTCTTATCCGCCAAATATTTGGGGTAGTTCTGCTTCCAGTGACCAGTCCATTTGTAGTAGAAGCACTCACTTTCAGGCTTAGGTCCAGACTTGGGCTTCTTCCCTGGAAAGGCAACTTGCTTGCTATTTTTCTTGAAGTTACCCTTCTTCCCTTTGCCCTTTTTCTTGAAACTAGTGTTCTTGTTAACCATCAACACTTGATGCTCCTTCTTGATTTCTACCTCCGCAGCCTTTAGCATCGCTGTCGGTGTCAAAACCGGTGGATCTCGGGTAGGGGGTCCCAAACTGTGCGTCTAGGCGGATGGTAACAGGAGGCAGGGGACACGAAGTTTTACCCAGGTTCGGGCCCTCTTGATGGAGGTAAAGCCCTACGTCCTGCTTGATTAATATTGATGATATGGCTAGTACAAGAGTAGATCTACCACGAGATAAGAGAGGCTAAACCTTAGAAGCTATCCTATGGTATGATTGTCTGTTGTCCTACAGACTAAAACCCTCCAGTTTATATAGACACCGGAGAGGGCTAGGGTTACACAAGGTCGGTTACAAAGGATGAGATATGCATATCCGTATTTCCTAGCTTGCCTTCCACGCCAAGTAGAGTCCCATCCGGACAGGATACGAAGTTTTCAATCTTGTATCTTCATAGTCTAATAGCCCGGCCAAAGAATATAGTCCGACTGTCTGGAGACCCCCTAATCCAGGACTCCCTCAGTAGCCCCTGAACCAGGCTTCAATGACGATGAGTCCGACGCGCAGTATTGTCTTAGGCATTGCAAGGCGGGTTCCTCCTCTGAATACATCACGGAAGAATTTGAATACAAGGATAGTGTCTGACCCTGCAAAATAAGTTCCACATACCACCGTAGAGAGAATCATATTTCCACAAATCTAATTTGCTGACTTGTTTTGGCAACACGACCTTATGCCATGACCCGGTGATTATTCGAACCGTTTCCTTTAACTAGCCCCGCACATAACGCGAGGCGGTTTTTTGACACGTCTTGTCAAAGCAGAGATCGTGTCCCCTTATCATGGGATTCTCATCAATACGGGCGTGGGTAACCCAACCGTGCCATCGATTCCAGCGCTTGGGGGATAAGCGAGTTTTACCAAGATAGTGGGGGCGCATAGTTTCGGCCGCCCATATAAAGGGATAAGGATTCACCCTTTCATCCACGCCTTCTTCCTCCTTTGCTCATCCACTTTCGCACACTCGAGCTCCAGTGCCCAAGTTCGCATTTCCCACCTCGACCTTCTCCAACCATGTTCGGAGTGGGAGGCAGGTGGATGGTCTCCTCCGTCACGGAGGGACACATCAAGAAGCTGAGGAGAGCCAGATACCTGCCCGACGACATCGCACACCGGCTCCCAGATGAGGGGCAGCTCATCCCCACCCCTAGGCCCCATGAGAGGGTAGTGTTCCTTACCCACTTCCTCCATGGACTGGGATTCCCTCTCCACCCATTTGTCCGGGGGTTCATGTTCTACTTTGGCTGGATTTCCACGATCTGGCCCCGAACTTCATCCTCAACATCTCGGCGTTTATCGTCGTTTGCGAGGCCTTCCTCCGCATCAAGCCCCACTTCGGCTTATGGCTGAAGACCTTCAACGTCAAGCCGAAGGTAGTGAGCAGCCGCCAGGCAGAGTGCGGACGATCCATGGTGGGCAAGATGCCCAACGTCACATGGCTCGAGGGCTCCTTCGTGGAGACCATAAAGGGGTGGCAATCGGGATGGTTCTACATCACCGAGTCGCGTGACCCTAAATGGGCAGCGGCCCCGAGTTCCGATCTGGCTTCCCCACGTGGCTCACCTCCTGGCAAGAGAAGGGCCTATCCTAGGGTAATTCGGGAGAGCTGACCGGACTCCAAACATGTATTCAAAACATGGTGAACAAGAAGCTCAAACTCGTCAACGTAGTCCTGGTTATGCTCATTCGCCGGATCCTCCCGTGCCAACAACGGGCTTTCAACTTGTGGGAGTTCGACCCAGCCCAGCACCGAACTCTGAACAGGCTCTTTGACACAACTCACGAAGAAGCCTGGAAGGTGCTATTCAAGAGTGCCGAGGTTCCCCCTCCCACTACCGAGGACCGCGGATTCTGCGCGAAGCGCCAAGCCAGCGCGGTAAGCTGTTTTACCTCTCACAGGATACTTGTTTTTCATAGTTTGACTCTATGCGGGATCTAAGCTCCCGTACCTTTGACAGGACTGGCAGGAGACGGCCGGACAGATCGATTGTCCGGCTCCTTTGCCCGAAGGCCCAACAGACGCTCTCCTGGCGAAGATGCTGACTCCGGATCCTTACACGGTGCCGGAGAAGACCAAGAAGGCCAAGGGAACCCGAAAGAGTTCCCGACGCTAGGCGTCATCGGACTCACTGTCCGATGACTCTGCGGCGCACTCCTCCCCCGAAGACGAGGAGGAAGAAAAAGATGCTCCCCCTCCAGGCGGGGGAGACAAGAAAAGGAAGGGCGCCCCAACTGGGGGGCGAAGGGTCCAAGAAGGGAAGGACTCTCCTTCCGGACAGTTCCACTGCCGCCGCCGAAGGCGAAGACGAGTGGTTGCCCAGGGCCAAGCCCCTGGGGAGGTCGTAAGTATTCGGATACCAGAGTAACTCATAGCATTCCTTTGTCGCACTGCTTTCCCTAACGCCGAATATGATTATGCAGGCCGCCACGAGCCTGTATCGATGTATCGTCGGACGGCTCCCTGGACTCGTCGGATATGGATAGCGATCCACTTCTGACCGCCACCTCCCCTTGCCCTGCGGACGACGCCGAGGTACTGTCTCAAGAGGCACCGGGTCAAGGGGAGACAGTCCCGGAGGCGCCTCAAGGCGACCTTCCAGACTCCGGGAGCAGAGGGGACAAGGCCCCTGAGGGCTCCGAGTTCGGCCCTCAGCCGAACACCGCGCCGGAACCTCCAGTGGTTCCGGACTCGGGCAGGCGGCCTCCTTCCAAGAGGGGCGAGACGCCTATGCCGGTGACCTCTGTCCATCCAGAGGCGCCGGACAATCTGCTGGGAGCGCTTCGCAGCGCTTCCATCGACGAGGAGCACCGTACTATTATGAGTGCGGTGGTCCAGAAGGTTCAGCCCGCCATATATAGAAGTACGATGATCAACTTGGCGTACAAGACAAGTCAGAACATATCCTAGTCTATCTCGTATTTCCTAACTAAACATTACTCAACACAAAAGCGACCATAGTAAAGTAGACGCTTCCACCCATATTAGCATACTAAAAGAATTTGGTATTCCATAAACGAGTGAACATATATATTGGCAACACTTGTTGATGGATATAAATTTTGACGCTATTTGAATAATTGATCATGTAGAATGCACAAACTTGCATGCGAGTAATAATTAACCTGAATAAACAATGCACTAGTACCAATGCTGAATTGGCATAAGCCAATTTCTAGAAGAAGATAGAGGGGCACAAACCGCGCATGCATTCGGAGCGTCCGTTCGTCATGTGCTTTTTTCAAAGATATGTCAAAGCTTGACGTATCTAAATCAAAGATTGAGAGAGCCTAGAAAGGCATATATCTTTACAACTTATCCACGACTATCATAGCCAATCCTCGACATACGGATTACTCATTACTAGCCCACCCATCTAGTCTATCCGGAAGCGGCCTCTCTTCCCGCAACAACTCAGTCGCCCTCCTGTCTTGCCCTTCTAAGTCGATCCTCTTGAGAAGCTCACTTGTAGAAGGGATCACTCCGTTGAACACCACATCGTTCGTGTGTCTCCAAAGCAACCGTGCAACGAGAGCGATTACTGTCCATGTCTCCCTTCTAAGCTTTGGTTGTGGATTTATAAAGGTATACCATTCCAGCATATTGGCGTCTGCAGTAGATAGTCAAGCTAGCTTATCCCAGTAATCAACTTCGGAGAACCACACTTGTCTAGCGAACACACATCAAGAAAGATGTGGCTGATCGTCTCAGGGGCTTGGTCACAGAAGGGGCAGGCCGTCGGGTGTGGTAGTTGTCGGTGCGCAAGCCTGTCGTTTCGTCATGTGCTCATGGGTGTCCAAGCAGTTGCAAAGTCCAAACTTCATTCTACGTGATTCTATTTTTCCGAGCTTGACGTGATTCACGACGGCATAAAATAACCATGAATAAGATCGGGTACATCTCCATTCTCGAAGCATATTTTTTGGGAAAAATCTTACTTGGCTGACGCATGCTGGGAAAGCATGGCATTTCATACGTTTTTTCCAGCAGTTTTAGTCATATAAATATGCTAACTTGGCAGCTGAAACCATTGCTGGCGTTAATAGTTGCATGCGAAACCAAACTAAATCAAACAACGTATCAACCTACCATGACCACACACTCAAATATGCCTAACTTTACAGCTGGTAGTCGCAGGCGGCTACGAAACATCGCCAGTACATATAACACAACCGATCAATTGCCAGCTTCCCTCCTTCAGAGTTCAGAACACTGCCACTGAAACACAGAAGCAAATATGCAGAGCACCGTCGTGCTTTACACATGGATGGTCAGGGGCCACCTCCACCCCATGACACAGTTCGCCCACCATCTCGCCGCACATGGCGTTCCTGTCACCGTCGCCGTCGCCGACGTCCCGTCTATAGGCAAGTCCTCTGAGACCATTGCCGGCCTCGCCGCATCCTATCCTTCCGTCTCCTTCCACCTACTCCCGCCGTCGGCGACCCGTTCCGCCCAGACGGCTGACCCCGATGCCGATCCATTCATCGCCCTTGTCGCCGACCTCCGCGCCACCAACTCTGCCCTCCTCGCCTTCCTGAGGCCCCTCCCGTCCCTCAAGGCTCTAGTCACCGACTTCTTCTGCGCCTACGGGTTTGATGCCGCCGCAGAGCTCGGCGTCCCGGCCTACCTTTTCTTCACCTCCGCTGCGTCGGTCCTTGCTGCCTACCTGCACATCCCCGTCATGCGCTCCACTGTCTCCTTCCGGGACATGGGGCGCTCCCTGCTGCACTTCCCCGGAGTCCACCCAATTCCGGCGTCTGACTTGCCGGAAGTGCTGCTCGACCGCGGCGACAGCCAGTACAAGACAATCCTTAGCCTTATGGAGCAGCTGCCAAGATCTAAGGGCATTCTGTCGAACACGTTCGAGTGGCTGGAGCCCCGCGCCGTCAAGGCGATAAAAGACGGGACTCCCTGTCCCGGCGAGTCAGTACCGAAACTGTTCTGCGTCGGTCCATTGGTCGGCGAGGAGAGGGGAAGCGCCGTGAAGCACGAATGCCTGAGATGGCTAGACAAGCAGCCAGCGCGGAGCGTGGTATTCCTCTGCTTCGGGAGCGCGAGCTCGGTGCCCGCAGAGCAGTTAAAGGAGATCGCCGTGGGACTGGAGAAGAGCGGGCACGCGTTCTTATGGGCCGTGCGAGCGCCCGTTGCGCCGGACGCCGACGCGACGAAGCGGTTCGAGGGGCGGGCCGAGGCGGCGGTGGAGCCGCTGCTGCCGGAGGGATTCTTGGACAGGACGAGGGGACGCGGGATGGTGGTTTCCTCCTGGGCGCCGCAAGTGGAGGTGCTCCGGCACCCGGCGACCGGCGCGTTCGTGACGCATTGCGGATGGAACTCGACGCTAGAGGGTGTTGTAGCCGGGGTGCCGATGCTGTGCTGGCCCATGTACGCGGAGCAGAGGATGAACAAGGTGTTCGTCGTGGAGGAGATGAAACTCGGGGTGGCCATGAGCGGCTACGACGAGGGGATAGTTAAAGCGGATGAGGTAGAGGGGAAGGTGAGACTGATCATGGAGTCCGAGCAAGGGGAGGAGATCAGGGAACGGATGACGATGGCACAAGTGATTGCTGCCAATGCGCTGGAAAGCGGTGGATCTTCGGCGGCAGCATTTGTTGACTTCGTGGATAATCTGAAGATTTCGATATTCGATTGAATCGTTGACTCTGTAGTGGAATTTTCAAACTGAGCAACACCACTTAATCAGTATGGACAAAATGAAGTGGCAATCAGCTAATGGTGTCCCTTTTTTTTAAACACACAAACTATGTGTCTTTTGTACTGCCTGCATCCAAAAAAGATTGTCTTAAATTTATCTAAATACGGATGCATCTAACACTACAAGCTATTTTGGGTGGAGGTAATGTGAAGATACAGGAGAAAACAAGTTGCAAGGGGGTGCGACGGTTTCTTGGTCTGGTCCAGGGTTTAGGATTTAAGGTTTGCACCCAGATCTGCGCGGCGGCGGCGATGGGTGCAGCGAGTTGGTCTTTGCTTTGCACTATGATCCATATAACAAAGAAAAAATCGATGATCAAAATGAGTGAATACTAAGTCATAGATGGTATTTATCATTCAAGAGACTCTCAACAAGTTTTACAGGACATATTCACAAACAAAAAACCGATGGCCAAGTGGTGTAGGACTCCGTGAGCTCGTAAGTTTTGCTTCATGTTGCTCTATCTGTTGATAATGTGATTGTTATGCTCTATGTTGCACTATTTTGATCTATGATTTTATCACTTTGCTAACTCGGCCTTGGAGGCTTTGTACAACAAGAACGAGGACAAGCCATTCATGAGGCTTCATTGTTGGAGCAAGTTGACGCTTGACCCCAGCGTCGCTTAGGCGAGCGACTCGGGGGAACCTAGTGATGACCCACAAGTATAGCGGATCTATCGTAGTCTTTTCGATAAGTAAGAGTGTCAAACCCAACGAGGAGCAGAAGAAAATGATACGCGGTTTTCAGCAAGGTATTCTCTGCAAGCACTGAAATTATAGGTAACAGATAGTTTTGTGATAAGATAATTGGTAACGAGCAACAAGTAACAAAAGTAAATAAAGTGCAGCAAGGTGGCCCAATCCTTTTTGTAGCAAAGGACAAGACTGGACAAATTCTAATATGGAGAAAAGCGCTCCCGAGGACACATGGGAATTATCGTCAAGCTAGGTTTCATCACGATCATATGATTCGCGTTCGGTACTTTTATAATCTGATATGTGGGTGGACCGGTGCTTGGGTACTGTCCTTACTTGGACAAGCATCCCACTTATGATTAACCTCTATTGCAAGCATCCGCAACTACAACAAAAGTATTAAGGTAAACCTAACCATAGCATGAAACACATGGATCCAAATCAACCCCTTACGAAGCAACGCATAAACTAGGGTTTATGCTTCTGTCATTCTAGCAACCCATCATCTACTTATTGCTTCCCAATGCCTTCCTCTAGGCCCAAATAATGGTGAAGTGTCATGTAGTCGACTTTCACATAACACCACTAGAGGAGAGACAACATACATCTCATCAAAATATCGAACGATTACCAAATTCACATGACTACTAATAACAAGACTTCTCCCATGTCCTCAGGAACAAACGTAACTACTCACAAAGCATATTCATGTTCATAATCAGAGGGGTATTAATATGCATATAGGATCTGAACATATGATCTTCCACCAAATAAACCAACTAGAATCAACTACAAGGAGTAATTAACACTACTAGCAACCCACAGGTACCAATCCCGGACTTAGAGACAAGAATTGGATACAAGAGATGAACTAGGATTTGAGAGGAGATGGTGCTGGTGAAGATGTTGATGGAGATTGACCCCCTCCCGATGAGAGGATCATTGGTGATGACGATGGCGATGATTTCCCCCTCCCGAAGGGAAGCTTTCCTGGCAGAACAGCTCCGCCAGAGCCCTAGATTGGTTCCGCCAAGTTTCCGCCTCATGGCGACGGAGTCTCATCCGGATAGATGGCTTATGATTTTTTCCTCATCGAAAGACTCCATATAGCAGAAGATGGACATCTGAGGGCCACCAGGGGGCCCACGAGGTAGGGGGCGCGCCCAGGGGTAGGGCGCGCCCCCACCCTCGTGGGCAGGGTGTGGCCCCCCTGGTGAACTTCTTGCGCGCAGTATTTTTTATATATTCTGAAAATGACTTTCGTGAAGTTTCAGGACTTTTGGAGCTATGCAGAATATGTCTCTAATATTTGCTCCTTTTCCAGCCCAGAATCCCAGCTGCCGGCATTCTGCCTCTTTATGTAAACCTTGTAAAATAAGAGAGAATATGCATAAGTGTTGTGACATAATGTGTAATAACAACCCATAATGCAATAAATATCGATATAAAAGCATGATGCAAAATGGACGTATCAACTCCCCCAAGCTTAGACCTCGCTTGTCCCCAAGCGAAAGCCGAAATCGAAAAATATGTCCACATGTTTAGAGATAGAGGTGTCGATAAAAATAAAATACGGACATGAGGGCATCATGATCATTTTTAGAACATCAACTGATATAATTCTTGTCATATGATCTCTTATGCTAGAGTAACAATTCAATCACAATTTCAAGTATGAATCATAATCTTCATTGAAAACTAACAAACTATAATCTCAGTCATTGGAGCAATTGCAATTTATCATAACACAGGAAAGAGTCAATATAAGAGGTTTTCAGCAAGTTCACATACTCAACTATCATATAGTCTTTCACAATTGCTAACACTCACGCAATACTTATGGGTATGGAGTTTTAATCGGACACAGAGAAAGATAGGGGCCTATAGTTTTGCCTCCCAACGTTTTACCTCAACGGTAATGTCAACAATAATAGTTCATGAAAACTCACATCCAATTAGCCATATATACCAGGATCTTTCCAACATGTTGCGCTTGCCAAAAGATAAAATGTAAAAAGGAAGGGTGAAGATCACCATGACTCTTATGCAAGGTAGGAGATAAAAGTAAAAGATAGGCCCTTCGCAGAGGGAAGCAGAGGTTGTCATGCGCTTTTATGGTTGGATGCACAAAATCTTAATGCGAAAGAACGTCACTTTGTATTGCTACTTGTGATATGGACCTTTATTATGCAGTCCGTCGCTTTTATTTCTTCCATATCACACGATCGTATAAAGCTTATTTTCTCCCACACTAATAAGTCATACATATTTAGAGAGCAATTTTTATTGCTTGCACCGATGACAACTTACTTGGAGGATCTTACTCAATCCATAGGTAGGTATGGTGGACTCTCATGGCAAAACTGGTTTAAGGGTGTTTGGAAGCACAAGTAGTATCTCTACTTGGTGCAAATAATTTGGCTAGCATGAGGGGGAAAGGCAAGCTCAACCATGTTGGATGATCCATAACAATATAATTTATCTCAGATGTAAGAAAACATAACCCATTACGCTGTCTTCCTTGTCCAACGTCAACTCTTTAGCATGTCATATTTTAATGAGTGCTCACAATCATAAAAGATGTCCAAGATAGTATATTTATATGTGAAGACCTCTCTTTCTTTATTACTTCATATTAATTGCAACGATGACCAAAACTATGTTTGTCAACTCTCAACAACTTTTATTCATCATACTCTTTCTATGTGAGCTCATTACTCTCCATAAGATCCATATGATCTCTTTTATTCTTTTTATTCTTTCTCTTTTATTTTATTCCCTCAGGATCATGGCAAAATAATCAAGCCATTGACTCAACACTAATCTTTATTATATAGCTCACAGACTCGATTACATAGAAGGATCATAAAGCAAAACTCACAACTAGATCATACTAAAAACTTTATACTACTAGATCGAGATATTACCAAAAGGATCAAACTAAGAAAAAACGGTAAAGATAAAAGTGATGGTGATACGATACCGGGGCACTCCCCCAAGCTTGGCAGTTGCCAAGGGGAGTGCCCATACCCGATGGTCAGTTCTTCTTTGTTGGTGAAGAAGGTGGAGTTGTTGATGATGGATAGTCACACATCGAGCGTAGGAGGTCTTCTCACTTGCGGATAATGCCTTTGAGTGTGATGATATGCACCTTCAACAAAATATTTTCACGTGCGAGATACTTATTTTGTATACGAGCTAACTCAATCATCTTGAAAGCTTCGATCTCAGTTGGGGTAAGAAGATTGTGATCAAGTTGAAGGATGTCTTCTGTTGCCGGAACTTGGTCCTCCGTAGCCTTCTTGATCCCTTCATCCTTGTTGATCTCCATGGGCTCTTCTCTCTTCAGCTCTATCTTCATTAGCCAAGTATCGTTGCCCTCATTGTTGGAGGAGGAGGGAGACGACATGATGCTTGGTGTTGACAACCCTGGCAGAAAACAGCTCGAAACAAGAACAAAGGATTTGTGCGTGATACGGTTGTCAAAACCTTCGGGGTTATATAATGAATTTTTACCGACCAAAATACTTGTCGTGTAAGAAAACGGAGTCCGGAGAGCACACGAGGTGCCCACGATGTAGGGGGCGCGCCCTCCACCCTCGTGGAGGCCTCGTGTCCTTCCCGAACTGCTTCTTATTTTTCTATTTTTCTAAATATTCCAAAACAGAGAAATATTGCCATAAAAACTGTTTTGCAGTTGGTTTACTTACGGTACCACATACCTATTCCTTTTCGGAGTCTGAAACATTCCGGAAAGTGTCCCTTATGTATTCCCCCGGGGTTACGGTTTCAATAACATTGGTTTCAACATTTATAGGATTACCTGAGATATAGTGTTTAATTCTTTGATCGTTCACCACCTTCGGATTTGTGCCTTCGAAGTTGTTGATTTTTATGGCACCAGGACGATAGACCTCCTCGATAACGTAAGGACCTTCCCATTTAGAGAGAAGTTTTCCTGCAAAAAATCTTACACGAGAGTTGTATAGCAATACATAATCACCTACATTGAACTCATGCTTTTGTATTCTTTTGGCATGCCATCTTTTAACTTCTTTAAATAATTTGGCATTCTCATAGGCTTGGGTTCTCCATTCATCAAGTGAGCTAATGTTAAATAACCTCTTCTCACCAGCAAGTTTGAAATCATAATTGAGCTCTTTAAAAGCCCAACATGCCTTATGTTCTAGTTCGAGAGGTAAGTGACATGCTTTTCCATAAACCATTTTATACGGAGAC